ACGACTACCAGTACTAGTACGACGACAACTACTGCTAGTAGTAGTAGTAGTGGTAGTCGTAGTAGTAGTAGTAGCAGTAGTAGTAGTAGTAGTAGTAGCAGCAGTAGCAGTAGTAGTAGTAGTGGTAGTACTATCACTAATATTATGACGAGGACGACTGCTATCACTATGAGGCCTATTATTTGTATTACTATTACTACTACCATTACTACTACTACTACCACTACTACTACTACTACTACTACTACTACTACTACTACTACTACTACTACTACTACGAGTTTTTCCATCGGGATCCCATGTGTGTCTGTAGTGTGCCCATAGGGATCCCATGAGGGTCTGTAGGGGCCCCACAGGGATCCCATGAGGGTCTGTATGGGGTGCCGTAGGGATCTAATGAGGGTCTGCAGGTATCCCACAGCGATCCCATGAGGGACTGTAGGGATCCCATAGGGATCCCATTAGGGTCTGTTGGGATCCCATATGGGGTCCCATTGGGGTAGGGATCCCACAGGGGTCCCATGAGGGTCTGTAGGGATCCTATAAGGTTCCCCTCAGTGTGTTCAGGGATCTCATGGGGATCCCATGAATAGGCATTCCATAGGGAACCCATGAGGGTGTGTAGGGGTCCCATAGGGGTCCCATGAGGGTCTGTAGGGATCCCATAGGGATCCTAAGAGGTATGTCGGGATTCCGTAGGGATCCCATGAGGGTCTGTAGGGATCCCATAGAGATCCCATGAGGGTCTGTAAGGATCCCGTAGGGATCCCAAGAGGGTCTGTAAGGATTGTTTGGGGATCCCATGAGGGAGTGTAGGGAGTCCATTGAGATCCCACTCGGGTGTGTATGGATTCCACAGGGATCCCATGAGGGTCTGTAGGGACCCCATCGGGATCGCAAGTGGTATGTAGGGATTCCGTAGGGATCCCATGAGGACCCATAGGGATCCCATAGGGACCGCCTCGCCAGTGCCGTCTTCCATCATGGAGGGCGGAGTCGGTGGATGTGCGAAAGGGTGTGTTTGTGTGTGTGTGTGTTCAGTTTCCGCTCTTTTTGTTTGCTCGGCTTTTTGGCGTTGTTCAGTTGTTTTGTTGTTCGTTGTTCGGGGGGGGGGACTGGGCACCCGGCAGCTGGGTTCGCCCTGTCTGGGAAGCCAGCCAGCCGGGGCCCGTGGGACCGGGTACCCAGCAGCCGGCTTCACCTTGTTGTTGTTGTTGTTGTTGTTGTTGTGGTTATTGTTGTTGTTGTTGCTGGCGCTGCTGTTGAGTACTCATTTCTAAAGAATACGTATGGTTGATCTCTGGAAACGGTTCAGGGCGCTCTCGCCTCGACGTAGGCTGCATTTTCCTGAAAGCGAGGCTCCCGCTCGAGCGATGGCTTGAGTGTAACAGTGGGCCCTTGGAGGCCCAGCTACGACGACAACGGCTCCCGCTCGATACCTCCTCACAGTTTTACACCGAGACACCCTGGCCAGAGAGGCCCCCGAACTCAGGAACGGCGCTCTCGCTCGAGGCTACCACGCAATTCAGTCAAGTTGGCGGGGTTCCAGCCACGACGACAAGGTCTCCTGCTCGATACTTCCTCACGATTGACTACGAGAGCCTCTGACCAGGAAGGCCTCCGAACTCAGGAACGGCGCTTTCAGTCGAGAATCTCATGACTCAGTCAAATTAGTGGTGGCCCAACTACGACGACAAGTGCTCCCGTTCGATCTGTCCTCAAGATGTATTCACAGAGGCCCTTGCCAGAGAGGATCCCGAACTCGAGTGGCGCTCTCGCTCGAGATGTTCTTTAATTCCGGCAAGTTGGTAGAGACCCAGACACGGCGACAAGGGTTCTTGTTCGATATTTGTCAATGTGTCAATTGTATTCCGACATCCCTTGGCTTGGCCAGAGAGGCCCGCTCTCGAGAGTTCTTCGCACTTTAGTCAGTGGCCGATAAGGAAGATATCTCCCCCGATAGGGGTGCGATCGAAGACGAAGTAGGCAGGTATCGAGGGTTGGGGTATAGAGAATGCAAGGCACGCGCGCCAGTACGAGAGAGCAGTATTAAAAGTGTTGTTGTTGTTGGCGTTGTTGTCGTTGTGGCTGTTGTTGTGGTTGATGGTGTTGGTGCTGTTGTAATCGTTGTTGTTGTTGCTGGTGTTGTTGTTGGTGTTGTTGTTGTTCTTGTTGTTGCCGTCGTTGTTCTTGTTGTTGTTGTTCGTGTTGTTGTTATTGTTGTTGTTGTTGTTGTTGTTGCTGTTGTTGTTGTTGTTGTTGTTGTTGTTGTTGTTGTTGTTGTTGTTGTTGTTGTTGATTGACACGTGACCTTGTTGCCCGCCCCCCCCCCCCAGCAACCAGCAACCGAATATTCATTTCAGCACACCCTTCTCGAGGATCGTGACCTTGGCCTCACAGGGAGATTCACCGAAGGTTCATTTCGGCACACCCTTCTCGATGATCGTGGCCCTGGCCGCACAGGGAGCTCCACCGAAGCTTCATTTCGGCGCACCCCTCGAGGATCGTGGCCCTGGCCCCACAAAGAGCTTCACCGACATGTTCGTTTCGGCACACCCCTCTCGAGGATCGTGGCCGTGGCCCGACAGGGAGCTCCACCGATGGTTTATTTCTGCACACCCCTCTCGAGGGTCGTGGCCCTGACCCCATAGGGAGCTCCACCGAAGCTTCATTTCGGCACGCCACTCTCAAGGATCGTGGCCTTGGCCCCACGGGGAGCTCCACCGAATGTTCGTTTCGGCACCCCCCCCTCGAGGATCGTGGCCCTGGCCTCACAGAGGGCTCCTTCGAAGTTTTGTTTCGGCACAACCCTCAAGGAGGGTCGTGGCCTTGGCCCCACAGGGAGCTCCACCGAAGGTTCATTTCGGCACACCCCTCTCGAGGATCGTGGCTCTGGCCCTATAGGAAGCTCCACCGAAGCTTCATTTCGGCACACCCCTCTCGAGGATCGCGGTCCTGGCCGCACAGGGAGCTCCACCAAGGATTTAGTTCGGCTTACCTCTTCTGAGGATCGTGGCCCTGGCCGCACAGGGAGCTCCACACCCCTCTCGAGGATCGTGGCCCTGGCCTCAAAGGGAGCTCCACCAAAGCTTCATGTCAGCACACCCCTTTCGAGGATCGTGGCCTTAGCCCTATAGGAAGCTCCACCGAAGCTTCATTTCGGCACACTCCTCTCGAGGATCGCGGTCCTGGCCGCACAGGGAGCTCCACCGAAGGTTCATTTCGGCTTACCTCTTCTGAGGATCGTGGCTTTGGCCCTACAGGGAACTCCACCGAAGCTTCATTTCGGCGCACCCCTCTCGAGGGTCGTGGCCCTGGCCTCACAGAGGGCTCCTCCGAAGTTTCATTTCGGCACGCCCCTCTCGATGATTGTGGCCCTGGCGCCACTGGGAGCTCCACACACCCCTCGAGGATCGTGGCCCTGGCCCGACAGGGAACTCCACCGAAGCCTTCTTTCAGCGCACCCCTCTCGAGGACCGTGGCCTTGGCCCCACAGGGAGCTCCACCGAAGGTTCATTTCGGCACGCCCCTCTCGAGGATCGCTACCCTGGCCCCACATGGAACTCCACCGACGCCTTCTTTCAGTGCACCTCTCTCGAGGATCGTGGCCCTGGCGCCACAGGGAGCCCCACCCAAATGGCATTTCGGCACGCTCCTCTCGAGGATCGTGGCCCTTGCCCCACAGAGAGCTTCACCGATTCCTGGACGATCCTATAGGATTCCCATAGAACCGTATCGGAATCACATAAGATGCCAACATGATCCCATGGGACCGTATAGGATTCCCATTCGCATCCTATAGGTATCGTATATGATCCGGTAGGGATGCCATAAGATCCTATAGGGTTTTGTTGTCCTATAGGGGCCGTGTAGTATTCTAGGGCTGTCATGGAATCTCATAGGACTCATTTAGGGTCCTACATTAATCTTATTGGAATCGCATCGGATTCTAGAACGAACCTACCTGACCCTATCGGGATCCTATAGGATCCTTACCGGGTCCTACACGATTCCTATCCAAACCCTTTTGCGAATCCCGTGGGACCATATAGGATCGCATGGGGTTCCTATGCAATCCCTATACGATCTTCATAGGATCTTATAGGATCGCAGGGGATTCCTATACAATCCCTAGATGATCCCTGTAGCATCCTATACGATTCCTATAGGATCCTATAGGATGGCATGGGATTCCCATTCAATCCCCATACGATTCCTATACAATGCCTATACGAGTCCTATAGGATCCGATAGGGTCGCATGGGAATCTATACAATCCCCATAGGAGACCTGGAGGGCCCTATACGATTGCATGGGATTCCTGTACAATCCCTGTGCGATTCCTATAGGATCCTGTACGATCGCATGGGGTTCCTATACAATCCCTACAAGATGCCCATAGGATCCTGTAGGACCGCTTGGGGTTCCTACGCAATACCCTATACGATTTCTTTAGGATCCGGTAGGGTCGCATGGGATTCCTATAGGATCCCCATCGGGATCCTATAGGACCCTACAGGGTCGCATGGGGTATCTATGCAATCTCTTTATACGATTCCTGTACGTTGTTGAACGAGTTTGCATCGCACAGTTCCGTTTCATCCCTGCTCCATAGTCTTTCTGGTTCATGGACTTGGCCCTGCGCAGCTTGCAGGCCGTTGCTCCGTGGGCCCCCCTCCTTTCAGTTGCACGCTGTCCCGACTGCCATTGCGTCGCGGATTGCCAGGTCAGCAGCGATATCGTGCACTTGCTGGGACGCCAGCTGGAGCGCTGCGGGCCAGAGCAGCTCAATTGCCCTGCGTGCCCGAGCTGTCCGCTGCTGCAGTGCCCCGAGCCGTCGCTCTCGCTGGGCACCTTCATCGTAGGGCTGCTCGCAGGTGTGCTGTCGGCAGCGACCGCAGGATTCTTGTGGAAGAGGGCCGCACGCGCGCCGAGGCTAGGATTGGATGGCGGCCCGCACCCCAGCAGAACGCACGCTGCGCTGCCTGCAGAGTCTGCAGGTGGGGTCGAGGGCCCTCGCCTACTACGACCCGCGCGATGACTACTGGCATGAGAGGATCATGCTGGCGCACATTCAGGACTTCCGCTTCGTGGTGCTCACCGCGGACTGGGACATCTATGATGAAGACATGTCCCAGGCGCTTCGCCTGCTGCCGCTGGGTCCACGGGGCGGCCTCCCCGTGCCGAGGCCGCAGGGGCACATCCTGCGGGTGGACAACGCCCGCCTCAGCGCCGAGCTGCAGCAGCTGTGCGACGAGGCGGCGCAGATGGCCTTGGACATCCGCGAGGAGGAGGGCTTGCCGGCCCCAGCGGCGCCCCACGGGGTGCTTGCCGACGGCGTGGCGGGGGCGCTTGCCGAGGCGCCGGCTCCTGCGGCGCTGGCGGCCGCCGCGAGGCCCGCTGGGCCAGCGGTGGGGGGCGTGGCCGCTGCCGGCGCTCTGGCGGCGGCGCCGGCCGCGCCGCACAGGGCACCCGCGGCCGGGGCTCTCCTTGCCCCAGCCCCGCCGCGGCCCGCGGCGCCGCCGGCAGACGCGGTCTGGCTCGCGGCGGAGACGCGTGGGGGCTTCACGGCCGGGGCCCCGATCCCGCCGGAGCTCCTCGGCGCGGATGGCCAGCCGCAGGTCGTCCTGGGCGACCGCGGGGTCGTGGCGCTGGCGGCAGGCGTCTCGCTGGCGGTCGCAGTGGCGGACACCCTGGAGGCAGGGACGGCAGCGCTCTCCAGCAGTGGGGGAGACCTTCGCACGCTGCCGGTGCTCTACTCACCAGCTGGTGGCCGCTCCAGGTCCTTCCACGACGCCGTGGCCAAGATGTCCACCACGCCCTTCCCAGACTGGCGCATCAAGGGGCCGAGGACCGCTGCTTGGCTGCTTGAGAAGATCTCGGAGGCGGGCTACACGCCGCTGCAGAGGCATTTCTGGTGGCGATCGATCCAGGGGCTCACAGCTTCCGACTCGGGCGTGGACGACCACCACTTCATTTCCGAGGTGCTGCAGGAGCTCACCACGTACGACCAGCTCAACGCGGGCGAGCTGGTGGCGGTGGAGATCCTCTGCCGCCGCTACCAGCTCTGGGAGGAGCTGTACGCCTCGAGTCTGCGTGAAGCCGAGGCTGGCCAGGACGCTGCACCCTGGCTCGATGAGCGATCCATCTTCCTCGGGCAGGACAGGAGCCGCGGCTCAGCGCTTGTCTGCCCCGCCTTGGAGAGCTGGGTGGCGGAGAAGCTCCGAGAGGAAAGTGCCATCCTCAAGGAGCGCAGGAAGGGGCGAGAGGAAAGGCTGCTGGAGCGCGGCGTCGACGGCGGCGCGGCCTCTGGCGAACCATCGGCGGGTGCCGAGGCTAGGGCGCGCGGCCGCGGGCGCGGCCGTGGCGCCTGAGGCGCCCCCTCGCGCCGGGGAGGCCCCCGGCCTCGGCGCGAGTTTGCAGGGGAGGCGAGGCGTGCTGAACGATGCCACCTCGCTGGGTTTTGGCGATGACAGTCTCGCGCAAAGGGACGCGCTGCCCATCCCGCTCAGCTTCGAGGCGCTCCAGTGCCTGAAGGGGTTCTCGGCCCTCGACGGCGAGCTTTCGCTGGGGCAGCGGCGCAAGGCCGCGCGCTGCAGGCGCCAGGAGCGCTGGGTGCTGGGAGGCGTCGCGGCGCTCAACGAGCCGGGCGGGGGTGGTCGGTTGGCTGACAGCGGCGGGCGGCTTAGCTTGGCGCAGCGCTCCGCGTTGCAGCATCTGGGCGAGGTCTACGCCGCGGTCCCGCCGAAGACTGAGGATTGCACCAACCAGGAGGCGTTTCAGGCGCTTCTGGGGCTTCGACCTGGCAATGCTGATGAGCCAGCCATCGGGGCGAGAGCCGGCTACCAGCGCGGGAGGGTATCCCTTCCTTCTGGCGGTGCTGGGCGTGTCGATCTTGTTCGACTACTTCCGCCGCACCTGCAGTCAGCGCTGGAGTCCGGGCACGGGTTATTGCGCTCGGAGCAGGAGGCTTCTGCTGCTCTGGAGGAGGCTGACGTCACGTGTTGCGTCGACGGCAAGCTGGCCCAGCGGGGCTTTGACTACGGACGGTTTCTGCTCGAGCTGTACGACGCAGGGATCGTTGAAGTTTTGGACTATGAGTTAGATCGGAAGGAGGAGACTGGCGTCTTCTTTGTGCCTCGCAAAGATGACAAGCTGAGGCTTATCTTTGACACCAGGAGGGCGAACTGCCACTTCAGGACGCCCGATTACACGCACTTGGCCTCCGGCGACGCCCTCAGCAGCTTGGAGTGCACGCCCGGCGAGGAGGTGCACTTGGCGGCTGGGGACGTGGAGGTGTGTTTCTACCAGTACGTGCTGCCCACATGGGCCAGGAACTACTTCTGCCTGCCGAGCTTGGCGACTCGCATGCTGCCTGCCCGCCTGCGTGAGGCTCTGGGGCCTGAGGTTGCGGCGCGACCCAAGATAGCCTTCCGTGTGCGAGTTGTTCCCATGGGATGGAACTGGGCCGTCCACTTTGTGCAGTCTGCCCACCTGAACGTGTTGGCTTCGATCTCTCCGAACAACCAGTGGCTGGTGGACAAGCAGCCTGGGACGTGCCCCTCGGACAGCTCTGCTGCAGCCAAGGTCTTGTGCATAGACAACTTTGCGGCCATTAGCACCAGTCGCGAGGCAGCGTTGCAGGTTGTCAATGACATGCTGGGCTCTTTCACCAGTGAGGGCGTCAGGGCGTCGCTTGACTTGGACGTCGTCCTCCTCGGCTTCACGCTGGGCTCCAAGGCCGCCAGGTGGCGCCCCGCACCCAAGAAGTTTTGGAGGGTGCATGGCTGCATCTCACACCTGCTGGAGCCAGGAAGGCGTATCACTGGGCGCCAGTTGGAGAGGCTTGTGGGCCACGTGGTCGCGCTGCTGCTGCTGCGGCGTGAGGCTCTCAGCCTCCTCAGCGCCGTTTACGTCTTCATCCGGTCGACCTACGACAGGGCGCAGCCGCTGTGGCCCAGTTGCCGACGTGAACTCAGGTGGGTGCTTGCGTTGTTGCCCACGGTGTTCGCCGACATGAAGAGGCCTTGGCACGCTGAGGTAGGTGCCTTTGACGCGTCGCCTTGGGGCGCGGGAGTCTGCACTGCGCGCTGGCCTTTGAGCGCGGTGCAGGCCGCAGGCAGGCAGCCGGAGAGGCTGCGTTTCCGCGGGCCCCTCGCCTCATTGGTGGCTCCGCGGGACGCTGCCCTGGCCGCGGACAGCATCGAGCTCTCTGACCCCGCCGCGCTCCTGCTCGGCCGCGCGGCGGGTTTCGCCGAGGTGAGCGGAGAGCTGCTGCGCGAGGCGACCTGGATCACGGCTGTTGCATGCAGATGGAGGCGTCAAAGTACTATCCACAGGCTGGAGAGCTCAGCAGGGCTTCTCTGGCTGCGGCGCGCCTCTCGCAATTCGAGATGCCACGGGCATCGCTTGCTGGGCCTGGGCGACAACATGTCGATGATTTGCGCCCATGAAAATGGGCGTGCATCCGACTTCGGTCTCTTGTCCGGCTGCCGTTGTTCTTACGCCATATCGGTCGCCTGCAATCTCAAGGTCACGTTCAGATGGATCCCCTCAGAGCTAAACCCTGCGGATGGCCCGTCAAGACGGTTCCAGTCTGGTCCGGAGCCGTCTTGGCCCAAGCAGGGGGACCAGTTCAGGCGTCACGGCAGTTGTGGCCATGCAGGAGGTCCGCACGCTCCAGGCAGCGCCGCCGTTCGGTCAGCCAAGTCTGCCAGAGGTGGGAGGCGCTTCGCCGACCCGGAAGCGAGCCGTTGGTGGTGGCGAGTCCGCAAGGATCAGAGCGCAGCTGCCGCCGCCTTCCGCCCAGGAGCGGGCCCGCTTGCTGCCCCGCCAGGGCTTTCTGGCAGCCAACAAGGTGCGACCGTCCACTCAGGTGCTCTATCTGAAGGTGTTGCGGCTGCTGGCAGGCTGGCTCATGGTGGACGCTCTGCCCGACTGGCCTGTGGCGGCCTGGGACGCAGCGCTGGCCGACTTCCTGCTGTGGGCCTTCGACCAGGGAGTGGCGCGGGCGACGGCTGCAAGGCTTGGCGCCGCGGTGCTGTGGGGGCTCCCGCAGCTCCACGTGGCGCCCTTGCAGAGGTGCTTCCCGCAGCTCGCGCACTCGCTGGCGGGCTGGAAGCGCCTGCATCCGCCAGGCTCTCGTCCGCCTCTTCCAGAGCTTGTGGTTCGCGCAGCGGCAGCTTGGCTTGGGCACCAGGGCGAGTTTGCGACCGCCTTGTGCCTCATGCTGATGTTCGAGGGCTACCTGAGACCCTCGGAGGCGCTGGCGCTGCGGGCCGCCCAGCTCACCGGCCCTTTCGGCTCGGCCACCAGCGCGGGCTCACACATGTCGGTGGTGGTGCATGCTGCAGAATTGCAGCAACCGGGCAAGACAGGCGAGATGGACCACACCGTTGTGCTCGACCTCCCGCGCCAGCAGGCCCTGGCTTGGGCCTTGGCGCGCCTGCGCGACTCCCGCCTGGGCTCCTGGCACCCGCTGTGGGACTTCGACTACAACCTCCTCCAGCGGCGATTTGGCCAGGCGCTCGCGGCTGTGGGAGCCAGCTGTTTAGCAGGCACGCTCTACAGCCTCAGGCACGGCGGCGCCAGCCACGACCGCCTGACGGCCAGCCGCACGCTAATGGAGGTGCAGCAACGAGGAAACTGGCGCGCCTTCAACAGCGTGCGACGCTACGACAAGCACGGGCGAGTGGCGATCGAGTGGATGAAGATTCCCGCCCCCCAGCGCCAGGAGATCGAACGGTTGGCTGCTGGACTCGACGCCGCCTGCAAGCTGTACTCGCTTCAGCGGTGATGAGTAGCAAAGGTCATGATTCTCGCGTCTTCATTGTACTCTTTAGTGGCTCTGGCAATCTGGCGCGACACCTGCGACAGGCAGGGCATGCAGTCATTGAGCGGGATGTCCTGCATGGGCAAGAGTTTGATCTCACCCGGCCTGCGCCGTGGGCTGTGCTGCGCGGCTGGATTGCCAGCGGCAAGGTCAAGGCTATTTTCATGGGCACGCCTTGTGAATCGTTTTCTCAAGCGCGACGAGGCGGCCCTACTTCTCGCATGCCTCGGCGCCTTCGTGACGGCTCTCACATCTTTGGCTTGCCAAATTTAGCTGCTCCCGATCAGGCCAAGCTGGAGCTTGGCAACCTGCTCGCCTCCCGTGCAGGGCAGATCTGGCAGCTAGCTTCAAAGTTCAACATTCCTGTCGGCGAAGAAAATCCCTGCAGCAGTTGGCTTTGGCATTTTCCAGACAGAACTCGCCGCCATCATTCTCCTTTCTTTTTCGAAGCTATTGTTGACCAATGTGCAGCAGGTCGCCCCTTTCGAGCCCGCGCTAAGTTCCAATTCTTGCATTGTCGTCCCTCCCCTTCTCTCTTGTCTATGAAATGTCATGGCCGTGGTGTGTGTGCATTTTCCGGCCAGCCTCATCTTGAGCTGTCTGGAAAGGAAGGCGGTGCTACTCACTTCCGCACTCACCAGAAGGCCGTCTATCCCGACGCCATCTGCAGGCAGCTTGCTCGAATGTTCTCGCAGACAATCGTCGCCAGGATGGTCTCCCGAAAATGGATGTTGATGCACGGCTGAGCCAGTGCAATGCTTGCTAATGGGTACTGTGCTTGTTGTAGATGGGCCTTTGCCGCCTGCCAAAGCTGTCCTGTGCCAGGCTCCGTTCCTCAAGCAGATGCTGGAAAAAAAAAGAAGATGATGCATGTACGTTGTTGAACGAGTTTGCATCGCACAGTTCCGTTTCATCCCTGCTCCATAGTCTTTCTGGCTCCCAATGCCAGCCCGTTGCCTCCAGAATTTTCTCTTGCCGCAGGCCTTTGCCGCCTGCCAAAGCTGTCCTGTGCCAGGCTCCGTTCCTCAAGCAGATACTGGAAAAAAAAATGATGCATATAGGATCCCCATAGGATCGCATGGGATTCCTATATAACTGGGTCGCATGGGATCCCTTATGGGATCCCTTATGGGATCCCTTATGGGATTCCTATAGGATCGCATGGGATCTCTTATGGGATTTTACAGGGTCGCATGGGATTGCTATATAATCTCACCGGGTCCTACAGGATCCCTATAGGATCCGATCGGATCGCATAGGATCTTTTATCGGACACTTGTAGGATCCTGTAGGATCGCATGGGGTTCCTACACTATCTCTATAGGCTTCGTTTCACGAGTCCTATAAGATCGCATGGGATTTCCATACAATCCCTATACGAGTCCTACAGGGTTCGAAAGGGTCGCATGGGATCCCTATAAGGTCTTCATACGATTCCTATAGGACCCGACAGGGTCGCATGGGATCCTCATACAATCCTTATCCGATTCCGATAGGATCCTACAGGGTCGCATGGGATCCCTATAGAGTCCCCACAGGATCCTCGAGGATCCTTCTAGGATCCTATAGGATCGCATCGCATCCCTATACGATCCCATAGGATCCCATAGTGTCGCATTCGATCCCATATAGGATTCCTTTTTAGGATTCTATAGGATTGCACGGGATTCTCATACGATCGCCATACGATTCCTATAGGATCTACACAGGGTCGCATGGGGGTCCTATACAATCCCTATAAGATTTTTATAGGATCCTACAGGGTCGCCTGGGATCCCTATAGAATCCCCACCGGATCCTAGAGGATTTGTTTAGGATCCATAGGATCGCAGAGTATCCTCATAGGATCCCTATTGGATCCCCATCGGATCCCTACAGGATCCCTAGAGGATTCCGATCGGATTCAATAGGGTCATATAGGAGCCGACAGATTCTGGAGCTTCGCTGGTGCCGACATGGGAACATTGCATGAAGGAGGAGCTCGCACCCTTAAGCAAGCGAAGTTACAGCGGAGCGAGGAATGGAAGCCGAGGTTGTTGGTTGCTGGTTGCCGGGGCGGGGGGGGGGTGCTTACCCCCGGGGGGCAAGGTCACGGGTTGTCTTTTAAGGACAAGCATTGACGAAGTTTCCGGGTGCACGGGCAAGAAGATCACGCGTCAATCTTGTTATTGTTCTTGTTGTTGTGATTGTTGAATATTCGATTTTACAGAATAACTATTGTTGGTCTCCGGAAACGGTTCCGCGCGTTCTCGCATCGACGCCGGCTATCGTGTTGTCGCTGTCGCTGCTGTTGGGCACTCATTTCTAAAGAATACGTGTGGTTGATCTCTGGAGACGGTTCAGGGCGATCTCGCTTCGACGTAGGCTGCATTTCTCTTGAAAACGAGGCTCCCGTTCGAGCGTTGGTTTCAGTGTAAAAGTGGGCCCTTGGAGGCCCAGCTGCGACGACAACGGCTCCCGCTCGATACTTCCTCACGATTTTACCCCGAGACACCCTGGCCAGGGAGGCCCCCGAACTCAGGAACGGCGCTCTCGCTCGAGGCTACCACGCAATTCAGTCAAGTTGGCGGGGGCCCAGCCACGACAAGGGCTCCTGCTCGATACGTCCTCACGATTGACTCCGAGAGCCCCTACCAAGAGGGCCCTCGAACTCAGGAGCGGCGCTCTCGCCCGAACTTTTCTCGTAATTCATGCAAGTTTGTGGAGGCCCGGACACGGCGACAAGGGTTCCCGTTTGATATTTCTCCGTAGGTATTCCGAGAGCCTTTTGCCAAAGAGGTTCCCGAATTCAGGAACGGCGCTCTCGCTCGAGACTTCTTGCAGTGGCCGACAAGGAAGATATTCCCCCCGAAAGGGGGTGCAATCGAAGACCAAGTGGGCGGGTATCGAGGGTTGGAATATATGGAAATATACGGAATGCAAGACACGCGTGCCAGTGAGAGCGAACAGTCTTAAAGTGATTGGTGTTGTTGTTGCTGATACTGTTGTGGTTGAGGTTGTTGTTGCTGTCGTCGTCGTCGTTGTTGGTATTGTTGTGTGTGGTGTTGTTGTTGTTGGTGTTGTTGTTGTTGTCGTTGTTGTTGTTGTTGTTGTTGTTGTTGTTGTTGTTGGTGTTACTGTTTTTTTTGTGGGAGGGGTTGTTGTGGTTGTTGCTGCTGATGTTGCTGCTGATGCTGATGATGAAGCTGCTGATGATGATGACGATGCTACTGACCATGATAATGATGATGATGATGATGATGATGATGATGATGCTGATGATGCTGATGATGATGATGATGATGATGATGATGAGGATGATGAGGATGATGAGGATGATGAGGATGATGAGGATGACGATGGTGGTGGTGGTGGTGCTGTTGATGATGCTGATGATGCTGATGATGAGGATTAGGAGGAAGATTTCAGTTGTTTCATTCCTTCGTCCCCCCGCCAAGTCGTTCGTGACGGCTGGACGCAGCTCGAACAATTCGCGTAGATGGACGGACCTTGGGAGGGGTCCTGGATCCGATCTTGGTCTGAGGAGGGAGGAGGAGGAGGAGGAGGAGGAGGAGGAGGAGGAGGAGGAGGGAGGGGGAGGAGGAGGGGGAGGAGGGGGTTGGGAGGCGGAGGAGGAGGAGGAGGGGAGGGGAGGAGGAGGAGAGGGAGGAGGAGAGGAGGAGGAGGAGGAGGAGGAGGAGGAGGAGGGGGGGGAACGGACCGAGGGCTCGAGGCGCGGCGAGCAGCATATCGTCGAGGCGAGGTGGCAGCCCAGACCGCAGGGGGGCGGGCCACCGAGCAGGGAACGGCGTGGGAGACGCACGCCACACCGGCCAGGGCGGGGTGGCCACCGCACTACCCAGGGCCCAGACTCGAAGGCCATGCGCCGCCCCTGGTTTTAAGTCGGGCCTGTCCCTCTAGAGGGGGATTTTCGACGAAAAATAAAAAGTTTTCCAAACATACACCAAAAAGGTGAAACCATATTCAAAAAATAGTCCCCAGACAATTTGTTGGACTATTGTTTGATTTTTTGGGGGGTCTTTTCTATTCCTCGTCGAAAATCCCCCTGTAGGGGGACAGGCCCGACTTAACCCTGGTTCCCGAAGGGCCTGACAGTTTTGCAAATCGGACGCTCAGAACTTTGGGGACATCGAGGCACATCCGGGGAGATTCGGGGCAACTCGTGGCCGCTCCAGCGCGAGTCGAGGGACTGCAGAGCTCGCTCAGCTTTTTACCGACTGGTGGCCCCCTCACCACCCGCCGCGGGAAAGGTTAGACCAGCTACCAGGGAGCACCACAGCCCCCCCCCCGTTGCCGAGGGCCACGGGGCATGTCGAAAGGCTTCCCATTCGTATCGCACCCCTCGGTGAGATATCGAAGCCTCTAGGAACGACTGAAGCGGGGCACTGGCGGGCCCTGGCACTCCTGTGAAATCTGAAACGCCCGTGTCTTGAAGAGAACATCGCACAGTCGGCCCAGCCAAGCTCGCGGACTCTCCCCACCGTGGGCAACTCCGCTCCCGCTCTTTCGCGCCAACTCTGCCGCCTGGCTCTTCCCTGGCCCGCGCCTCCTCACGGACGCCACTATCAACAAGCACGTTTGGCTAGCCTTCGGTTGCACCCTGGCCACCACTGACCTGGACGCCTACACGGACCAGGACATCTAGCGGTCCATCGCCCACCGCCACCTCGACGACGTGGACCGCGGTGTCGATGTGGACCTCATGTGGCCCAGCGGTACAAGGCTGCGAACATCTAAGACTCTGGCCGACGTCTGCACGGGCACTGAGGGCTGTAGTGCGGGCGCACTCGGACTCGACGGAGAGATCTCCGCATCCCGTCAGACCTGCGAAGGCAAGTCCCACGCATGTAAAGGCAGGGGCCCCAGCCCCAACCGGCTGGCGGCCCCCTACGCACGACGCCTCCGAGTGCCTCCACGACCGCCTCCGTGAGTTTCTTGGCTTATTCTGGACGGGTCAGGGCAGACTGAGAGCCAGTTACGGCGGGCGAGCGCTGCGTGGGGCATCAGCAAGACTGGGGTTGTTCACAGGCCAGTTGCTGTACTGGTAACGATGTTCACACTGGCATCTGTAGTTGGTGATATGCCCTGCCCCATTTCTCGACTTCCCCAACTAGCCTCCTCTTCCTCCTCCTCTGCCTCCTCCTCTGCCCCCTTCCTCCTCCTCCTCCTGCTCTGCCTCTGCCTTCTCCTCCCCCTCCTCCTCTCCCCGTCCTCCTTATAAAAAGGGCCCCTGCGCCACCCAGTTGGAGCCCACAGACACATGAACACCTCATGGAACGTTTGGTCCTCCCCCCGTCCTCCTCCTCTTCCTCTTCCTCGTCATCTTCCTTTCCCTCCCCCCCGCTCCTGCCACCCCCACTCTCTCCCTGTCCTCCTCTCCCCATGCCAACCCGCATCCCCCCACCCCTTGTGTTGCTGGTGCGCCAAGACGAACCAAACTCGCCCCTCGACCCTTTATCCTTGAGTGCCCACCCCGCTCTCCAGCTCCCGCCCTTCCTCGTGCCGCGCCAGCGGCCCCGAAAGCCCGCGGCGCTGGCGCGCTGCGCAGGAGGCGCAGGCGGAGCTGCGCGCGCGCGAGGAGGGCTGGCAGGCGGAGCTGGCCGCGCTGCAGTCGAAGGCCCAGGGCGTGGTCAGGGGCAGCAGTCCAGTCAAGACGCTGAAATGAGGACCGCTTTCGGGCTCAGGAGAGGCGCGGGTTTTCGGGCCGCTCCTTGCGTATTCGACGAATTCTGGCGCTTCGCGCGGATTTTCTTGGATCCGCGCTGGGGTCCCCTGGCGGCGCCTCCAGCGCCGCCCCTGGGGCCCTCTTGGCGGCGCCTCCGGCGCCGCCCCTGGCGCGCTCTGCGCGCCAGGGAGGGGGGTCCAGCGCAGATCCAAGAAACCCTCGCGGAGCGCCAAAAGTTTACAGTCAACCCGCGTAGTAAGGATGGGCAACCTTCCCAAGGGTACCCTTGCATCCTTGCCTCCTCGGTCCGTCCTTGGCCACTTTCGTTGGCCGCGCCCCGCTCGAAAAGCTTCGAAATGGGTCTTCAAGGCCCTTGCATCCCTATCGCGCATCCTTCTGATACGGGCCGACTGTGGGTTCATGCCGTTGTTTCTACTTCTGGTCGTGAGGCTTGCTTGTGGCCTACGTGTGGCCCGCCGTGGGCAGGAGAGCCCCCTCGTTCCTTGCTGCGCGCTCCTTCTGCCAGCACGATGACTTCCGGGGGTGGGGGGGGTCCCACTGTTGAGTCGGGCCTATCCCTCCACAGGAGGAATATTCAAACATAGTCCAACATATAGTCAGGGGATGATTATCCGATTATGTGTGCAGACGTATGTATGTATGTATGTATGTGTACATATGTATGTATGTATGTATGTATGTATGTATGTATGTATGTATGTATGTAGGTATGTAGGTATGTAGGTATGTAGGTATGTAGGTATGTAGGTATGTAGGTATGTAGGTATGTAGGTATGTAGGTATGTAGGTATGTAGGTATGTAGGTATGGTAGGTATGTAGGTATGTAGGTATGTAGGTATGTAGGTATGTAGATATGTAGGTATGTAGGTATGTAGGTAGGTAGGTAGGTATGTTGGTATGTAGGTATGTAGGTATGTAGGTATGCAGGTATGCAGGTATGCAGGTATGTAGGTCTGTAGGTCTGTCTGTCTGTCTGTCTGCCTGTCTGCCTGTCTGCCTGTCTGCCTGTCTGTGTGTATGTGTGTATGTATGTATGTATGTTTCATCTCTCTCTCTCTCTATATATATATAGATGTTGGATTGTTTTATCCGTAAGGGCTTCGCCCCATGCCGCCGGCCCCCTGCCTCGGATAATGGGAGATGCAAAAGCTAAACCATGAGGTCTGGGCGCCGCCGTGAAGCAGTGTCGGGACCTGTTTGTTTTTCGACCCTGATCCTACGGATCTGCATCACAGGTGTCACCAGATTTCAGAAATGTGACAAATCCCATGTGTTTTTGGACCCTGACCCTACGGATCTGCGTGAGGGGTGCCGCCGAATTTCAGAACATGTGGCAAATCCCTTGTGATTTTGGACCCTGACCCTGTCGATCCGCGTGAGGGGTGCCACCGAATTTCAGAAATGTTGAGAATCCCTTTGGTGTTCGAACCCTGACCCCGCCGATCTGCGTGAGGGGTGCAATCGAATTTCAGAACTATGGCAAATCCCATGTTTTTGTTGACCCTGACCCCGCCGATCTGCGTGAGGGTTGCCACTGAATGTCAGAAATATGGCAAATCCCATGTGTTTTTGGACCCTGACCCCGCCGATCTGCGTGAGGGGTGTCAATGTTTACCCACCCCAGCAATTCAGACAACACGCTCAGGGCGTGCTAAAAATACCAGTTTTGGGCCTCCCCCCGCGCGCGGTCCATCAACAAGGAACAGTAAGCAGCAAGAAGCAGAATTGTAACAAGAACCAGTAAACAGCAAGAAGCCAAACTGTAACAGTGGAAACTGGAAGCTGCAACTGGCACAGGAAACTGCGAAGCTTCGGCCTACAGCCTGGTGGCCCCACAAAGGGGCCGGCGGATTTTTCCTCCAGAATCCGCCTGAAGGAGGACATGCCCGACCTAAGATCAGTGGGAACCCCCAATCGCGGACCTCAGAAAAATCATGTTTGTGCCGTTCCTTATTTTCCTCTACTCTCCATCCCCCGTCGGCCTTGTCCCCCTCCTCAAGCCCGCCTGGCGCAGGCGCTGGCGGAGCTGCGCGCGCGGGACGAGCGCGCGCAGGCGGAGCTGCGCTCGCGCGAGGAGGACTGGCAGGCGGAGCTGGCCAGGCTGCAGTCGCAGGCCCTGCAGGGGACCCTCCTCTGTCCCTCGGCTCCGCAGACTTCCGATGCCCTTTGGAGTGAATGCCTTGGTGGATAGTGCGATGATGTTCTGCTGCTATCTGCCTCCGCAGTTAGAACCTACCCAGACAGGCCTAACTGCCATCTCGTAGTACGCATGCGGTCCGCGCACGACCCCCGTCCCGCGAGCCCCACCATTTGGGATTACGAAATGGTTGTTAGGGACTTTGGCCTCACAGTGATCGTTTTCTTATCTTGTGTTTTGCCGATCGGCACGGGCCCTCGCACCCCACCACCACCCCCCCACATGGAGTAGATCCTGGCCGTTTTCGGCGCCTGTTTCGAGCAGGTGGAGCCTCCCCCTTAGGACGCACTGTTGCACACAGTCGCACTAAGCAGAGGCCGAGAGCCAGACTCCCCCTCCGCCACCCGCAGAGTCGAAACGCCGAATAAGAAAAACGCTCACTTTGGAGTGATAGTTTGATGATTCTGACTGTTTTGGCACACAGGCTCGCCCACCAGCGCCCCAGCCATCACTTCGGTAGGTCGAAGTCCTGGAGAACAGTCATCGTGGGTGGACTGACACGTCGATTAGTGAATTGTCCGTTTTCGGTTCTCGAGAGGGCGCCTCGGCCGTCATTTTCCAGGCTTGCGCCCGCCAGGTTTGGGCCCGAGGTCGTTTTTACTAAACCATGTTTTACTAAAGTTAAGTCAGGCCTGTCCCCCTACAGGGGAATTTTGGACGAAACATAAAACATATTCAAAGAATGCTCCAAACATGCCCAAAAATTGTCAAAAAATAGTTCCCAGACTATTTTTTGGCAATTTTTTGGGAATATTCCCCCTGTAGAGGGACATGCCCCACTTAATACTAAAGGGGAGTCTGTCCATCCCCGAAGTCAAGACGCGCATGGGCCGTCTGTTATTCTGGCGGGGCACGGCGCGGCCGCGCTCGGGCTCTCCGCGACCGCGCCGGCGCACGTTCCAGGACGACCAGGAGACCTCCCGCGGCCAGGGACCAATGGGCAAGGGCGTCCTCGAGGGCGCGAAGTTATTCGCGCTTCGCGCTTCGCGGTTCGGCTCCGACTCCTCATCCTCCTCTTCTCCCCTGGGAGGCGGCGCGAGAGCGCGAAGTTATTCACACTTCGCGCTTCGCGCAGCGCGAAGTGCGAAGTTGGGAGCCCTTGAATGGGGCCCCCCTCGAGACTACACGCAAGTTTTTCAGGTTGGTCGACGCGCGAAACGCGGCCCACGGGGTCAGATATCTGCCGTTGCAGTCGCCAGTTTCGGCGCGGAGAGGGACATGTTGGGGTCCTGGGGCGCCGCCGCGTCGCGGGAATAACTCGCGTTTGATTTCGAGGGGGGATGTGGGGCCCTCTCATCCGTCGTCCTCCGCTTCGGGAGCAGCCTCGAGTACAGTGAATGCGCCGAAACAAGTACCGCCTTGGGCTCAGGAGGGGCGCGGGTTTTCGGGCCATTCCTGAAGTTGATGTCGGGGGGCCAGCAGAGCCCTTTTCGTTCCTTAATCTGCGCTCCTTCTTTGCTGGCACGATGGCTGCATCGAGGGCTGCAGGCACCCTTCAGATGTTTGTTCCAGCGATCGCCCCATCGCCAGGGACATTGAGGATATATGTGTATGGTTTGTCTGACTCCTTTGGCATCCCCCCTCGGCATCAAGGATGTTTGATATTGCTGCTCGGACTGCCCTGGGGCTTCGAGGATCTTTGATGTTTGTTTGTTGTGTTCTTTCTGGCCCCCCCGAGAGGTGGCGCACGAGCTGGCCGACCGCGAGGGGCGGTGGCGCGAGGAGCTGTCGCGCCTGGTGGCCGAGGATGCCCCCCCCGCCCCCCTCCTCCTCCTCCTCCTCCTCCTCCTCCTCCTCCTCCTCCTCCTCCTCCTCCTCCTCCTCCTCCTCCTCCTCCTCCTCCTCCTCCTCCTCTTCCTTCTCCTCCTTCACGGTTCGTGGACCCGTAGGGAGCTCCACCGAAGGCCCCAGTGGCACAGGCCGCATGCCCCATTTTGGCACACCCCTCACACGGTTCGTGGCCCCATAGGGAGCTCCAACCAAGGCCCCTGTGACGCAGGCCGCATGCGCCCGACGCCCCCATTTTGGCACACCCCTCACGCGGTTCGCGGCCCCATGGGGAGCTCCAACCAAGGCCCCAGTGGCACAGGTCGCATGCGCCCGACCCCCATTTTGGCACACCCCTCAAGGTTCGTGGACCCATAGAGAGCTCCACGGAAGGCTCCAGTGGCGCAGACCGCATGCGCCCGACGCCCCCATTTTGCACCCCTCACACAGTTCGTGGCCCTGTGCTGAGCTCCACCGAAGCCCCGGTGGCACAGGCCGCAGGCGCCCGACGCCCCCATTTTGGCACACCTAGGTTCGTGGCCCCGTAGGGAGTTCCACCGGAGGCCTCAGTGGCACAGGCCGCATGCGCCCGACGCTTTTGTTGGCACACCCCTCAAGGTTCGTGGTCCCGTAGGAAGCTCCACCGAAAGCGGTACCCACAACGCGGTTTTCACATCTGCGCATGGTTGTGTCATTCGCCAGATAATTTCTTCCAGGCCATGAGACCTGCACCATCCACGTGGAAGTCGATGTGTTTTTCGCTCGCCGTTTTGTGGTGCTTCATCTGCACAGACTCATGCAGAGTCTTACAGCATCCCAGCCGCAAGACCAGAGCCACGACGCCCTCTCCCTTTCGCCCACCCCGAGGGGGGCTGGGTCGTCGGCGGCGAGCGGCTCTCTCTCACTCTCTCTCGCTCGCTCTCGCTCGCTCTCCTTTCCTCGCCCTCCCCGCTGCTCGCCCTCCTCTGGCTGGCCCCGTCGCTCATCAGGGGTCGACCGAAGCGGTGGTTTGGCGATTTCGTGGTCTTTCTTTTAGTTTCAATTCGTTTTGGCTCAAGTTCCCGCCCACGCGCACAGACCAGAGCACATCGGCAGCGTTGTTGCTTCCTCACCCAAGCAGCAGAGATGGCGCCGATGATGAAGTCCACGGTCATGACGAAAAGCGCCCTCGTGGCGGCGCTCGCGGAGGCCTGCGAGGTGAAACGGGGTGTGATCGGCACGGCTTTGAGCACTCTCGCGAGCATTGCAACGACAGAGGCGAAGAAGAATGGGAAGTTCGTCATCCCGGGCGTTGTGATGATCAAGACCCGCCAGAAGAAGGCCACCAAGGCTGGGAAGCGCGAGATCTTCGGCAAGGTCGTCATGGTGAAGGCGAAGCCAGCCAAGACCATCGTCAAGGCTTTCCCCGCGAAGGCCCTCAAGGATGAGTTCTGAGGGCCTCCCAGTCTGTGGCGCGCCGCTCGAAGAGACGTGATCGTCAATCCCTCCGTTCGAGGAATCTTGATGTCATCTTGGCCAGGTTGTCAGGAGGGTGCGTGGTTATGCATGGCCTTTCTGGCCCCAGGACGCTCGGCGAGGACATGTACGCCACACTCGTCTCGCTGAGCCAAAAAGCGTTTCGCTATCGTTTTGCAGTCAAGGCGGAGTCGTGGCAGAAACAGGGAAGACGGCAACACGACGAACACGAAACAAAAACATTATCTAGGCCGAGCCCACGGCGACGGGCGGCGACGGGTGGCAACGGGGGGGGATGACCGTGACGGGTGGCGACGGCGACGGGCGGCGACGGGCGGCACGGCAGCGATTTTGCGGCGATGGTCCCGAGGCGACGGCGACCAGAGGCGACGGGCGGCACGGGCGGGGACGGGCGGGGATGGCGGCGACAGGCGGCGACGGCGACGAGCGGCGACGGGCGGCGACGGGTGGCACGGGCGGCGACGGGCGGGGATTGCGGCGACGGGTGGCGACGGCGACAGGCGGTGACGGGCGGCGACCGGCGTCACGGCGGCGATATTGTGGGGAGGGTCCCGACATGGTTCACGCAAGTAATTTCCCCTAAGTGGAAGCACCTGTTGAGGGAACAACTACATAAAGCATAACCTTTTTTGTTCGGGTTGTCCCAGCAGATTTCTTGGATCTGCGCTGGACCCATCTGGAGGCGCCGCGCTCTGCGCGCCAGGAAGGGGGGGGAGGAGGGGGGAGAGGAAAGCGAAGTGGAGGGATAGGTTTCTGGACGCGTACCCTCCTTCGTTGTGAGCCGACTGCTATTATTATTGTTTTGTTGCGCTGGCTTGCTACAGTTGTCCAGGGCAGGCATCTGCCGGAGAAGGCTGGCGCAGACACGGGGCTCTTGGCTGCGAAGGGTTCGAACGAACACAGACACCAATGTATGACCCACTGCAGCGACAAACGTGTTTTGAGATAGATTTGAATGACAGCACGACCAGGGCCCCGGACCCCAGTCGTCTGCGGCGTTGTCCCGAGCCAGATGGATCCGCGAGGGCCCCCAAGGGGGCCCGAGACCAGGCGAGGACGCCCAGCGTGAGGGCGCACGCCTGCCGTGCCCAGACCTGGGCCGCGGGAGTGGGGGCCCTCCCGCGCCTCCGCGCATCCGCTCGCGCCTCCTCGCAGGAGCAGAGGAGCGCGGCCGAGCTGGAGGCCTCGCGCGGGCGCGACCGGCAGCTGCAGGCCGAGCTGGAGGCCTCGCGCGGGCGCGAGCGGCAGCTGCAGGGCGAGCTGGAGCGCGCCGACGCGGAGCGGGTCGAGCTGGAGGCCTCGCGCGGGCGCGAGCGGCAGCTGCAGGCCGAGCTGGAGCGCGCCAGCGCGGAGCGGGTCGAGCTGGAGGCCTCGCGCGGGCGCGAGCTGCACCTGCAGGGTGAGCTGGGGCGGGTCGCGGAGGAGCTTGCGACCGCGCGCGCCGAGGGGCGGGGCAGGGAGCTCGCGGCCGCGCGCGCCGAGGAGCAGGCGGCCGCGCGCGCCGAGGAGCTCGCGGAGCTGCGCGGAGGGCTCGCGGCCGCGCAGGGGGAGATGCACGAGATGCGCGTGCGGGAGAAGATGCACAAGGCGCTGGTGAGCCAGATGGACGCCGTCGAGAGGCAGCGCAGGCTCCTCGACGACGAGGTGGGCCGCCTCTCCGAGGAGCTGCGGGCGGCGCGCGAGAGGGAGGCGGGGCAGACCGAGCGGGCGCGGTCCGAGGCGCAGGGGCACGAGGAGCTGGGGCGGCAGCACCTGCAGCTGCAGTCCGAGGTCGCCCACCTGCGAGACCAGCTGGACAGGCGGGACGCGGAGGCCGCCTGCCTCAGGCGCGAGCTGGAGGCGCAGGCGGAGGAGCGGGCCGAGGAGACCCGCCTGACGTTGGAGGAGCTGGGCGGCCTGCGCGCCAACGTGGACGAGCAGGACAAGAGGTGCACGGAGCAGCTGAGGGACCTGGAGGGCGTCCGCGCGGAGCTGCGGCAGGCCCTCGGCGAGCGGGACGCGCTTGGCACGGAGCTGGAGTTGGCCCGCAAGGACGCAAGTGCCGGCCTCGCGGCCGCCAGGGCGGAGCGCGAGCGCCACGAGGAGTCGCTGCGCAGGCAGCTCGACGGTGCCCTCGCCGACGCCGCGACTGCCCGGGCGGAACGCCAAGCCGCGCGCGAGGAGCTGACGGCCGCGCGCGAGGAGCTGACGGCCGCACACGAGCTGGCCGCCGCACGGGAGGCCGCGGGCAATGAGACAATGACGGAGCTCGAACGCGCGCGGCAGGGCCTGCTGGAAGCCCGCTCCGAGGCGAGCGCTGCTCGCGCCGAGGCCCAAAGGCTGGGGCCGGAGCTGGAGGCCGCCAGCGCCGGCTTGGAGGCCGCGCGCGCGGAGCTCGCGGCTGCGAGGTCGGAGGCGCGGGAGACGGCGCAGGAGGGGGAGGAGCTGCGGAGGCAGCTCGACGGCGCGCTCTCTGGCGGCGAGGCGATACACGCCGAGCTGCTCGAGCTCCGGGACAGGGTGGCGCAGCACCAGCTGCTGGAGGTCGAGCTGAGGAGCCACCGCAGGAGGGAGAGGGAGTACCAGGACCTGCAGCAGGAGGTGCTCAGGAAGTGCACGCAGCTCAACGCGATCCGCAACAAGCACGTGGAGCAGGCGTCCCCCGGACCTCCCCCGGTGGCCGTTGCGGCCACCGCGGTGGCCAGCGCCACGACCACCACGGAGGGCGGCGTCACCCGCATGACGAGCACGACGGAGACCCGCGTGTCGGCGTGCGGCGAGGCAGAGGCTCGCGTGGCCGTGGAGGAGCTGACGCCAGACAGCCACGCCGATCTCGGTGGGTTGGCAGCGGCGCGCTGAGGGCAGAGCCCCCGCGCGCTCGTCTGCGGCTTCGGCTGGCTGTCCTCACGTGCTCGGCTGTCTCCACTGCCCGTGGTTGACTTCGGAAGTGCCAGCGCACGGACGGTGTGTGTGTGTGTGGTGTGTATGTGTGTGTGTATGTGTGTTTGTGTGTGTGTGTGTGCGTGTGCGTGTGCGTGTGCGTGTGCGTGTGCGTGTGCGTGTGCGTGTGCGTGTGCGTGTGCGCGTGCGTGTGCGTGCGTGCGTGCTTGGCGGCGTGCGCGGCGGGTCTGGGCGAAGAGGGGGGGCCTTTTCAGGATGCATGGGGCCCGTCCGCAGTGGGCTCCGACGCTAGAAAACACCATACCTGAAACCGCCGAAAAAACTAATCGCCGTGTTTTAGCGTATTCGGCAAAGCAAATGGTTTTCAAGACGCCGAGTTGAAAGCACAAGAACCACGCCCAGAGCATACGTCAGATGGTTCAAGTCAAACCACCACCCGAGCCCGCCCGCTGTCTTTCAGAGTCCTTCCCCTCCTGCCCCACCACTCGTGCGCGCTGCCAAATTCCGTCTCTGTCCTCCCTAGTGCATTAGCCCGAATGCGGTCGCCCCGATGCTCGGGCGATCGTTTCTGTTGCAAATGAACCACGTATACGCGGTGCGGAACGCAACCGTCGTAGGCAAGTGTTAACGCAGCGCGGGCGCGAGACACCTCGATAGGGTGTGCTGCCGCGCGGTGGGGAAAACGGGCCTCGTGCCTGGCATGCAGGGACACGGCGCTCCATGTTCTGGGCAGTCGGGGCCACGCATGCTTCCATGCCCTCAGTGGCAATCGGTGGCCTGTGCCATACGCTTCTCCTGAGATGCGCTTTGACCAGAATTGCGAGGGGGACCCAGCCGTGGTGACGAGGGGCCCCGTGGGGTCCACAAAGAGGCTCAAACGTCAAAGATGTTCAATCTCGAACCTCGAGGTCCGTTCAAAATCGACCCCTGGACCCAGCTCGGGGTTTATTCCTGACCAGTCTTCCATCCTGGATTAGTTTTGGATGGACCCAGGGCCCAGAACGAACCGCCAAGCCCGAAACCTCGAACTCCCGAATCCTGCGTTGCAAAAAACAAGTTCAAACATCATGAAAGTCACGACCAGAGCCCTCAATCCCGTGTTTATCGCGGCACTTCTCGATCGTTCTCTACATAGGAGGCCCCTGGGACCGAAATCGGGCGAGAACGCCATAGTGGACAGTTGAGGAGGTGTGCAGGTACGTTGGGCCCTCCTCCGGGGACATCTGCGTCGGCCGAGGGTCCCTAGAGTAGTCCTCGGCCCCCTCCGGTGGCCACTGACGCCATGATGGCGTCGGTTTTTCCAAGATTGTGAGAGATTTGAAAATTCGTTTTAAGACCCAGTATTCTCCTAACGTGTAGTGGGTTATGCCGCGTCTGCCTGTGAGATTCGTAGGTCCCTAGCTGCAGTATTACTGTCAAAATACGTGGAGAACCAACTTCGTATAGAACCGAAAGCAAAAACATAGCCCACGCAGCCCCCGTGATGGAAGCTGCGCGGGGTGCGAGGCCCACCGACGGCCCTCGCGGCCTGCACGGCGGGGACGGGCCAGCCGGTCCGTCGGGCGCCGGCTGGGACGCTCAGCCGTGCTCTGCTGTCCCGTGGGCCCGCTGGCGGGCCGACAAGGCCAACAAGTGAAATACCCTTCGGGCCGCAGAATGGCCGTGGAGTTCCCCCGTGCCCCTGCGGGTCGCGACCACAGTCACGCCCGGCGCGCCTGGCGTCGCCCGGCGTCCTTGGCCCAGGCCTCCTGGGCCGGGGACGCCCAGCGTGCCCTGCTGCCCGAGGCGCGGGCGCGTGGTCTCCCCTCCCCGCCGCGCGGGCTCTGGCGGTCCGCGCGGCTGGCGGGTTTTCCCTTGGCATCGCTCGGACGTGTGCGTTATTCCTCGTCGAGGACCTTTGAGGAGCATCCTGGATCATCGAGCAAAACAAACGCGCACGAAGTCGAAACATGCACGGGGAATGGACGTCCGAGCGATGGCGAGTCTCGGGGTGCGTCGGCCTCTTGGGGGGGCCTTCTCTTTTTGGGCCCCGGGGGGGCCGGCGGAGGCCGAGGGGGAGGGGCGCCTGCTGTGGGAGAGCGCGGCGTCGGAGGAGGAGGAGGAGGAGCGAGGACGGAGAGGAGCGAAGAAGAGAAACAGCGCCCATGAACATGATTTTGGGTGCGCTCTGCGCGGATTTCTGGGGTCCGCGCTTCTGGCGCGCTCCGTGCGCCGGGGAGGGGGTCCCGGCGCGGATCCAAGACTTCCGCGCGGAGCGCCACAAGTTTGTGTTTCCGCCTTTGTTGTTGTTGTTGTTGTTGTTGTTGTTGTTGTTGTTGTTGCTATGTGTCTTATTCTTCTTCTTCTTCAGAGGATGGTGGGCCTGTTTCCCACCTCCACCACCATAAGCTGGAGAGGGAGGGGTCCTCTTCCTCCTCCTGCTCCTTCTCCTCCTCCTCCTCCTCCTCTTCGTCCTCTTCCTCCTCTCGTCTCTCAAGGCTGGCGCTTTTCTTGTAGCTAATAAAAAACAAGAAGGCCGGCCGGGACTTTCTGTGAGGCGGGCCCCCTTGGACACGGGAGGGCGTACCGCCGCATCGCTGACGCATCGTGGATTTACTCTCTTCGTTCTCACCCCCCGCCTCTTCGTCCTCACCCTCCTCTTCCTCCGACGCCGTGCTCTTCCACTGGAGGCCTCCTGGATGGGGCCCGAAGCAGCTGCGGCGCGGCGTCGACATGAAGCAGATCGGGCTGCACGTCGATCAGCATCGGCGATGCATCGTGGGTCTACTCTGGTCCTCCACCACGCGCACGCGCACGCGCGCGCGCACGCGCACGCGCGCGCGCACGCGCACGCGCACGCGCACGCGCGCGCACGCGCACGCGCACGCACACACATACACGCATACACACATACACACATACACGCACACACACACATACACGCATACACGCATACACACATACACACATACACACATACACACATACAGAGACACACAGACACACAGACACACAGACACACACACACACACACACACACACACACACACACACACACACACCGAGACATCGGAGCCCGACCTTGGTCCGTCCGATGCCCGGGGCCCCAAAGGGCACGCGCTTCTGTGCCGCCGCTCCTAGCAGGCCGCTGCGGCCAGGGCGTGCCCCGATCTGCGCGTCGCGCCCCCTTTCCCCTGGATAGCGAATGCAGCGCCGAAGGCGATGCGGCCCCGAGCTCCGCGCCCGTCCGCCGGCCGCGGCCGCGGGCCGCGGGTGGCCCTGTGGCTGGCGGCCGGGCTGCCGCAGTGCCGCGGGCGCTGGCTGCGGCGGGCGCCCTCGCCATCGGAGAACCCGAAGCCGCACATCGGGCGGGCAGACCTGTGCACCGGCACCCTGTATGATGCGCTTCCCTGTCCAAGCCACGAAGGCGTACCGATCCTGCCCGTAGGACGAGCCTGGCCAGAATCGGTGTATGTGCATTGGTGCACCGGCACCCTGAAGACCGCCCGTGCGTCGTGACAGGATCCACGCCATGGGGTTTGGGGGGGCAGTCTTCGGCATCCAGGGGGCCCTTGCAATATGCTGGCCCGGGGACCATCAGAGAACAGCTCGTGGTGAGGACCTGGTCTCGGGGACGGGGGTCCGTGAAAAAGAACACGGCGTCCGATGTCTGGGACCATGCCTGGGCAGGACCATCCTGAATTGCCAGGCTGGTGTGCAGATCCGCCTGGCCTCGTCCAGGAGGGCGTATGCACCATGCCAGGGCCCAGGTTGGCCCTGGCCAGGCATGGCGGTGGTAGCGAACGATGCCTTGCGCACGAGAAACAAGTGCTGATACTTAAGTTGGGCATGTCCCTCTACATGAGGAGTCTTCACAAATGGTAGAAGAATGGTCTCGTGACGATTGTTCGTGCTCTGCTGATGATATTTGATGGTTGTTTTGACAACCCATAATTATTCTTCCAAGGTCCGCCTGCAGGAGGACATGCCCGACCTAGCAGTATCGGTATCTTTCTCTTCCCCCAAGGACGGCACACGAATCCAGGCCTCTGGCACCTGCCCCAGGCGCGTGTTCCTTCCATATCTCGGCCTCCGTGGGCCGTCGTGGGCTCTGGCACCGTCAGCAAAAACGATCCAGGACCAGAATTAAGTCGGGCCTGTCCCTCTACAGGGGGAATATTCAAAAATAGTGAAAAATAGTCTGGGAACTCTGAGTATTTTTGGGGAATATTTGAAGTGTTGTTTGGGGTATTGTTTATTTTGTATCCAAGCGGATATGGGCTATCTGCGAGGAGCTACTTTGCGAGAGGAAGGCGCTCGTGTAGAGAAAGCCAGCCCGTCGGATGCCTCGAGCTGTCATACTTCTCGGAGGCGCTGGCGGGCGCCTCCTCTCCACCCGGAGCTGGACGCCCCTCCCTGAACCACCCCTCCGCGCGGCGCGGCCTCGTTTTTTTTGTTTTGCGCGCACCCAGCGCTGGGAGACGGGGGAGCGGCGGGCCGTCCTGGGCTCTGAGCGGAGGAGCCGTCTGCGGACATCCGAAGGAGGTGCTACGAAGAGCTCAACTGAGAAACCCAGATGGCGTAGAAGGAGGACAAACAGATGGTGTGGTCTTCTGTCGAAGAAGAAACAGACAATATATGGCGTAAGCAGGAACTGTCGGAGCTCCGCGCAGATTTCTCGCATCGGCGCTAGGCCCCCCTCCCTTGCAGCGCCTCTGGCGACGCCTCTGGCGCGCTTCGCACGCCAGGGAGGGGGGGTGGGGCTGGCGCCGATTCCTGATTTCCGCGCGGAGCTTTTCAGCCCAACCAGGAGATCATCATATCGCCTGCTTCGTATCGAAGGGCCTCGATGGACAAACACACGTTGGGGCTAACGCACGTTCTGTGGATCATCGAGCGGTCTTTTGGTTCTCTGCCTCCGCTGGCTTCGAGCAGAGGCTAAGCAACTTCAACAACGTGCAGTACGTCGGCGACATCGAGGTCGGTGGCCAGCAGGTGGGTGCCCTGTTCGACACGGGCTCCGACGACCTGGTGCTGAGGTCGGCCGAGTGCCACGGGTGCACCCACCATGCGCCGCCGTACGACCACCACAGGAGCGAGCACTACAAGCTCCACGGGGTCATCCACAAGATCACGTACGGAGCCGGCAGCTGCAGCGTGGTGCGCGGGTGGGACAGCGTCTCGGTGGGCCCCCTGCACGCCCCAGAGCAGGAGATCTGGGAGGTCATGCACCACAGCATCCCCCTCTGGGAGCACGCGGCCTACAGCGCGCTCGTGGGCATGAGCCCCACCGCGGGGTCGGGCTACGTTCGTGGCAGCACCCTGCTGGCCTCCCTCGGCGTGGACGCCTTCTCCGTCTGCCTCGGGAGGGCCAACGGCTCGGACGGGTACCTCACCTGGGGCGCCTTGCGTGCGCCGGGGCACCCCGCGGCGCGGCTGCTAGTGCACGACCAGTGGGTCGCGCGGCTCGGCAACATCACGCTGGCGGGGGCCCCGTCCGTCCGGCTGTGCGGCTCGTCGCCCTGCTCCGTGCTGCTGGACACGGGCCACTCCCTGATCGAGGGGCCGCAGGCCCAGATCCTGGAGCTGAGCAAGCACATCGACGGCGGCGCGCGCCGAGCGGGGGTCTCAGCGAGCGTCGGGCGGCGGCTCGTGGAGCCGCCTGTCGAGGGAGGAACATCCGCCCAGCTCCCGGCAGTTGGCGTTTTTCTGAACGGCCCTGGGCGTGATTACCAAACAGCCCTGCCCTGTCTGATTCCTTCCTTGGGTGCGTTTGCTGAACGGCTTCCCTTGTCGGCGTGGCTATTATGGGGGTGGACTTTTTGACCTCTAGTCTGGTGGAGGTTGGCAGGTGGTCCAGGACCCGTTCCGGTCAGCAGGACGGGCGGGCAGGTTCGAGGTGTTGGGGGTCGGGGACGTGTCTTGTGTCTTGCTCGGTCTCCCAGGGCCTCGTTTTCGGGCCCTACAGGCCCGTGGACAACGGATCCAGACAGAAACTGCACCGCACGGACCCAGGTCGGGTGTGACTAGAAGTGCCCCTGGCCCAAGGTGCTCCCAGGAGTTCCAAGGAGGCCCCCACGGCCTCCATAGCCCCCCTCACGAGGCCCAGGGGGGCCCAGGGGCTCCAAGATGGAGCGAGAAGCTGGGGGCACCTTGGGCCAAGAACACCTCTCGCACCCCCTGGCCGCAGGGGTCTGGGGGCCGATTTGCCCCAGGGCCCCCTCCACAAGCGGCGGGGGCCATCCAGGAAGGCATGGGGACTCCTCGGGAGGGCCCAGAGGCGGCGTCGAAGAAGGTCTTTCGAGAAGGGTTAAGTCGGGCCTGTCCCTCTACAGGAGGGATATTCAAAAACTAATAGAAAAACAGTCTCGGTACGATTTTTCAATCTTGTATCTGACTATTTTCGAATACTTGTTGGACCATTTTTTAATTGTTCGTCCAAAATCCGCCTGTAGGAGGACACCCAAGATCTGAGAGTAGAGGATCGACTACAATCGACCCGCATGGTAAGGATGGGCAACCTTCCTGAGGGTACCTTTGCATCCTTGCCTCCTCGCTCCATCCTTGGTCGCTTGCGTTAGCCGCGCCCCGCCCGGAAAGCTTCGAGATTTGCGTCCAAGGCCCTTGCATCCTCATTACGCATCCTTGCTAGACGGGTTCACTATACAGACTACAGACTTGATGCACCCCAGACTTGATTTTCATTTTTCCGCAGAGCGTGCGAGCGATGCGTAGGATGCTCCGTCGTTCTAGCAGATTTCTATATGCATGTCTTCGCAGATTCGACGAACCAATACAAATTCTGGGTTGCATCAATTTTGCAGGGGATCCCCTTTGTCAGAAGGCGGCCGGGGAGGATCTCTGGTGGAATCTCCCCCCCCGCCTGCGGGGACGGCCGCCCCCCTCGTGCCGACCACCTCCTGCGCGCCGCCGGCGCGTCTCGATCAACCAGGACTGCTCCAACCTACACGAGCTGCCCACCCTGAGGTTCGAGGTCCAAGGGAGGAAAAACCACCCCGACGCCCCTCATTTTAGGCGATCGCAAACATGGATCAAGGGGGCGTGGATTAGCGACGGTTCCCGATTGCATGTGAAATCGCGGATTCCCGCCGCCGACCTCCCCCGATCCGTGGATTCGGCGACCGCGCGCCAAGTCCATGTATCGCTAATCCATGCTTGCGCTCCCCCGACCCTCAATGGCGTTTGCTCGGCGGCCCCGGGCGCTTGCCAAGCAGCCCTGTCCTGCTCGCTTCCTCCTCTGGGCGTGTCTGCCACGAGCGGCCTCGCTCGTCGGGGTGCTTCTTGCCGAGCGCGGCCTCCCTGCCCTCGAGAGGTGGACGGCCAGCCGCTGGAGCTGCCGCCCCTGGCCTACGTCGTCCGCGTCGGGGGCACGCCCGCGGACGCGCGCCGCGTGTGGCCCTTCCTGCCCACGGGCGGCACGCTGAAGGCGTTCCGGCCGCACAGCTGCCAGCCCGCGTTCATGATGGGGCGTGGGGGGTCCTCGGAGCTCGGAGCTCGAAGCAGTGCCGCCACGGCTGCCCCGGCCTCGTTCGGGCCCCATCGGGGCCTCGTGGGGGGCCCTCGGCACCAGGGCCGGCGCCGCAGCGAAGGCCTCGGCGGAGCGTGCCCTGGGAGAGGTCCGTCGAGCATCGGCTTCGGGCATCCTGTTCTGCTATCCCAGGAGCTGGGGCCGCAGTGGGTGATCGGGATGCCCTTCTTTCGCCAGTACCGCACCACCTTCGATCGCGCGGAGCACGCCATGAGCTTCGAGGTGGGCGGCGGGCCAGGAAGTTGATACACTTGTCTCCGCGGTGTTGGATGTTCCCCCATGCTTACTCCTTCGCCCTCCCGTCTTCCTCATCCTTCCCTTCCTGCCTGCCTCCCTCTACCTGCTAGCTGCAGCGCCGCACTCAGCTGACAGGCTATCGTCTTCATCACCGTCGTAATCCAGGGCGCTGCGACCACGCGCGCAAAGGGAATCAATGTCTGGGAAATCGCCAGACGCAGTCAGCGCCCCCCTCCGCATCTCCAAATACCGAAGCCCAAAACATTGCTTTTCAACATCCCGCGTTCCGCGAAGTCGAGAATCCCGCATCGCGTCGTCGCGAAGCCTTCGAAACGCCGCCGAGGGCCCGCCGTCGACGCTCTTCATCACCGCCATTCTTCCTGACACGGGCATCGTCCTTTTCTCTGCGTTGCCGTGGGCCTGAGCTCCAGTGCACCCGGTCGCCACTGCGCTTTCCTTGCTCGTAAAGATGGTGTCTGCGCTAAATCTTATGAAGCGGTCGGAAGCAGCGGCGCGCGCGTGCGGCGTGGAGATCAGCCGGGCGAGCCGTGATTCCTGAATGACCGGCAGGGACGCACGTATGGTGAATGTTGAGTCCCGGGCCTCAGCAGAGCCTCCTTGACCACGATGACGACGTCCCCTTCCATTGTTTGCTGCACGGGCTTGTAAAGTTTCAATTTGGAATAGAAGAGCGACTGGGCAGTCGTTTTCCGACTCAGCTTGACATTTCGACGGGGGGTGCGGGGCCCGAGCAGGGCAGTGGGCTCGCGCGCGCAAGAATCCGTAATGTCTGGGAGACCTGCAAACGCACTCGACGCCCCCCCTGCACCTAGAGGAAAAAGGAAGAGTGCGCGGGATCCCAGCTAGTAGTAATGTGTATATATATATATTATCGA